ACTGAAATTTGTCTCCATACACATGATTTAGTTGAGATATACTTGGATAAATGATAAAAATGCAAGCTTTATATGTAAGCTCACCAGTACTAACTCTGCTTGGAAATGAGTTCTGGTTAGGGCTTTTTCTTAGCCATGAGCAATTTGTGAAATCTTCTTAAAACTGTATGGGACTCTTCTAATGAATTGATTCCATAACTAATGGCCCAATTAGCAGAATAAGAGGGATAATTTTGTTAATTTCCGATGAAGCAAACGAGACAAAGGGAAATGTGACTCTTTATCGATAGTAATCGGCAAAAAGAGTTCTTAAATTAGTGACTGAATTGACGGAAGAAAACCAAATTAATCAAACTAGGATTACAAGAACAAAAAGAGCACAAAGAACTACGTACAGAATGCATATTCGATTATGTTTCCAGATGTTTTAAGTTTTTTACAGTGGTTGAAGTAGAGAGGATTGATTACCTGAGGGCAGCTTTTGAACGGCTTGACGATTGCTTCAATAGAATAACAGCGCAGTTGAAGAAAAAGAAAAAGAATGAAAAGGAGGAGAAATCGGGAGATAAAGTCCTTTAATTTTGGGAAGGAACTTTGCGTAGTGCTGTACCAATATTCTGTGTCTTTTATAAGGAAAACATTGTGATTTGTACAAGATATACTTCTTAATCTTGGGCATGCCGATGAACTGTTTGACGATATGCCTCTTTGAGATCAAATGTTTGTGTAGTGATGGCTACCAACTGCCACCAGTACACTTAGAGTGGTGAACTCGCATTCACATCACACACGATTGTGTACTTCAGACCATTTCATATGGTTTAAAATTATGCTAATGCTACTCTCTCAAACTTTCGTTCATCTGCAGCTGCGAAAACACTAACAGCATTCACGTATTGAGATTCATTTCAACAAACACCACAAAGCTTCTCTCAGTAAACACCACAACAGTTGCAGTACACGAAAATTTCGAACCAAACGTGGCTCAGAAACCCATGCACGAAAGAAATATTACTCCTGTCTGCCAACTATCACACAAGAACTGGCTCGACTTTTTCCTCTTTCCAGTCGTAATTATTAAATGCTAAGGCCGTCCCGTGGTTGAATTTCACCTTAGGCCCTTAAATCGCCTCCAGAGGAAAATTTCCAAGCCAGTTTCGATGTTAGAGCTTCATTAGTGCACTCACCAGCCAGAAGAGGAAGTGTATTTCTAAGGAGCGTAATGGACACAATTCCTCCACAAGCGACAAATTTAAGAATCTGTACAATGGATTTCTTCACGAAGAGGCATCCAAAACCTGTCAGGATTCTCCCCAAACATACATTAAAAAAGTAGACGTTTTTACACAAAATCCTTTTAATCTCATGAAATATAAATATGGCATGGAACTCATCCAAACAACATCGACTGTTTCTTTCTTCTTTTTTTTTTTTCTTAATCTGATGGTGTCTTCATTCTGGAAAACATGATATATAGGATTAGGATTTTCCTGGGCAGTTCATCAAAGCTGAGGTCACACCAATATTTCCTCATAATAAACTGCAGCAACTGATAGTCACAAGTTGAACAACTGCAGCAACTGAAATAATCACAAGCTGGTTCAGAACTCGTAAAATCGGCACGCGAGTGCAGCAGCACAAGTCCCGTCCACCAAGCATTGTCGAATCAGCAATTGGCATTTGGCCACCATCAAATTACGCATATACAAAATCTATTGCGCATTATACTTTTTAGTGTAAAAAGTTTTATCACTTCGAAAGCCAAAAAGTTCTTAAAAAGAGATAAACTGCAGTGTTTTGGGAGCTTTGTCGAGGTAGTTGACTATAAATTAGTTTACACTGGAATTGGAGGGGTGCGCCAGGCCCAAGCAGTAGTGCAACGCTTGGGCGACACATGAAGGGCCAAGTAGCAAGCTACCCATTGGGCCTTCCCCCTAAAAAAATTAATTTAATATCGTGTGGGCCTTGGCCCACGTATCAGATATTAAACTGATAAGAACAGATACTACACTTGATCTTAGCCAAAAGGCCGAGAAAGGTATGCTTAATGAAGGGCCATGGCGACTTCTTATATAGGTTAGTTGGTTTTCCTTTTCAGCTTCTATAAGCGATGTGGTAAAAAAGTTAAGAGACATGAACATGCTCTTATTTTGATTCCTGAGGAACAAATCTTTCATACATTAAACATCATTATCTTTCAAATTAAAAGTGCCCTCGGTTATTGTATGACACACCACTCTCATAAAATTCAAAATTCTACCTGACAAATTCAAAATGAGAATTGTAGTTTTAAGGAATATGCAGCCGTGAGGCCTGAGGGACTGAATTGAGACGAACATGTCTCTCGAGAATGGTCATGGCTCGACAACTTCATGATCTCTATGCAACAGATTCATCTGTCGAGTGAGCTCTAAGGAGCCAGCGAGAATTGAAAGGGCACACCAGTATGAGCCCAGCCCGAATGCTAGGGTTCGTGTAGAGGTTTAGTTCTCCCACGTACGGGTTTGTAGTTTGAACGTTTTGTAATTAATGGCCTAATTAGAAGAATAACAGGGATAACGTTGTTAATTTTCGATTTAAGGAATTGAACAGGAAAGTTGAATAACAGGGACTAGTGACCGAATTAAGCATAGAAAACGACAACTAAATCAAACAAGAATTGCAAGAAAGAAAAGAACAAATAACTAAAGAATACAAATTCAATTATGTTTCTAGATGTTCAAATTTTCCGGTGGTTGAGGCAGAGAGGATTGATTACCTGAGGGGAGGTGTTGAACGGCTTTACGATTGCTTTAATAGAATGAGAGAGTAGGTGAAAAGAAGGAAAATAGACAAATGAGTCATATACCTATGAGAGATAAAGTGTTTGTGCAGTGATGGCTACTAACTGGCACCACTATAATTGAGTGGTGAACTTTCCATTCACCTCACACATGAGTGACATTTCGACAATTTCATGTAATTTATACAATTTCATTTTTGAGCCGGCTCCAATTTGGAACTTCATTACTTCATGTAATTTAAACAATTCTTCCACGAGCAGAGGATTGAAGAATCAGGACGATGATCCAAACCTAGTCGGATTCTCCCAAACATTCTGTAGAACAAGCAGACAAGAAAATCAGGATGGAAAAGCGACAGCCTGAAGCTGACCACGTATTTCAGTCCCAAAGCAATAAGTCTATCATTAATAGCCGACTCCCTTTATTTGTTCCGTTGATATGGTTTAGGTGATTGAATCCCAATTGAAGTTATGTCGTGATGTCTTTGCATATATCATTAATGTGTAGTTTGGCATACGTTTGCAAGATTAAGCTTTTGATAGAAATCGATTTTGAAATGAGAACTTGTGTTTCTAATGGTTTGGAGATCCTTTCCGATTCCAAAAGGCAAAAGTCCTTTTAATCTCATCATATGTAGCCATGGAACTCATCCAAACAACATCGAATGTTTCTTGCTTTTTCTTTTTTTTTTTGCTGAGAATCTCTTTCGACTCTTGAGGTTAACTCTGTTTTAAAAGTTTTTCATTTCACTCTAGTTTAAAAATTTAAGTTTGGAAGCCAAAAATAAGCTTCGTAATTAACTTTGCCACAGGAGTATTATCTTAATATGAGGTTGGTTGAGAGGCAAATGTAATATAATTTAAACTGGAATTGGTGGGGTGCACCAGGCCCAAGCAGTAGTGCAACACTCGGGCGACACGCGAAGGACCAAGTAGCAAGCTACCCCATTAGGCCTTCCCCCTAAAAAAATTAATTTAATATCATGTGAGCCGATGGCCCACGTATCAGATATTAAACTGATAAGAACAGATACTACACTTGATCTTAGCCAAAAGGCCGAGAAAGGTATGCTTAATAAAGGGCCAGGACGACATTTTATATAGGTTAGTTGGTTTTCCTTTTCAGCTTCTATAATCGATGTGGGAAAAAAGTTAAAAGACATGAACATGCTCTTATTTTGATTTCAAGGAACAAACTTTCAGACTTATGACATCATTGTCTCTCAAATTAAGTGTCCTCGGTTAACGTATGGCACACCTCTCATAAAATTCAAAATCTACCTAACAATTTCAAAATGAGAATTGTAGTTTTAAGGAGTATGCAGCCCGGAGGCCCGGCCCGAATGCTAAGGTCCACGTAGAGGTTTAGTTCTCCCACGGGCTCGGGGATGGTTCGGTTGGTCCTTATATTGTAGCGTTTAGCAGTTTGAACGTTTTTAATGACATCTAGGTTTAACTCTGGTGGTTGGATTCATATGGTGGATCATCTCTTATTTCAATAACAATTTCATTTTATATCTACAGTTCTTATTTTGAAATAAGATATGGAAGAAGCATTTTCTAAAAAAAGCTACCAGTTGTCTCCATTGCTGGAGAGAGCCTGGCAAAGGTGAGGGTTTGGCTTTCTTGGTGCTGTTATCACGAAACAATCCGGAAAAAATGAGGAGAAATGCAGTAATTAAATTCATAAGTGTCACTCATTGAAATTAGAGACTCAAGTGATTTTTTGTCGACAACCCAAATTGTCTCCACACACATTATTTAGTTGAGACACTTGGATAAATGCAAAAATGCTACTAGCCCCAACTTTGACCGGACATGAATTCTGGTTAGGGCTTTTTTAGCCATGAGCATTTGTGAAATCATATAGAATAGTATGGGACTCTTCTAATGAAGTGGAAGAGATATAGCCGAGGTAAAATACGTGATGAAAATTATAATGGTCATATCGAGGCAAAAGGGGCAAATTTATTCGATAATTAATAACCTAATTAGCAGAATAACAGGGATAATGTTGTCAATTTTCGATTAAGGAAACGAGATAAAATGAACAGAAAAGGGAAATGTAACTAACTATCGATAATAATTATACGGTGAAGAAAAAAAATAACTATAAATTAAAGAGGAGAATAAATAATATTTAATAATTATAAATTAAAGATTTAGTGTCAAACAATATAAAATTATTTATATAAGAGAATATAAAATTTACATTATTTTTTATAAGAGAATATAAAATTTGTATGTTTAATATTAAAAACACCTAAAATGTTAAGAGTAATCAAAATTTTCTATATTATTTTTGAAAGATGTGAAGTCACCTACAATTTTTCTATTAGAAGGAACATATCTAAAAACATTTGAATTTAACATTGCGTAAACAAGATTTTTCTAGACTATTTTGTAAGGAAAACATGTCTACAAATATTTAAATTTAACATCATTTATGTATGTGTATATGTATATATAGAGGAATATGTAAAAAAAATGTCTAAACAATTCGTTTAAAGTATCTAAAATATTATGAGCATAATTTAATAAAGACATTATGTCAGACAATACCGAATTTATGGCGTTACTTCCGTCTAAAAGAATATTTGATTACACATCATTGTTATTATATTTTTTTACGTTGTTATCGAAGATGTATTGTTAGCTTATAATATTTGTAAAAATATTAGTAATTAGACCGATGAAAATTAGCCTTTTAAGGTAGATAATGAATTTCTAGTAGTAATTATGAATTGGTTTTATTTTATTTTATTTTTTAAAATATTTATAGATAATAGATGAGATTTATTAAAATCGTGAGACGTATGCAATATAACAAATAAGAGATAAGCTCGAATATTTGTAAAAATATTAATAATTAGACCGATGAAAATTAGCCTTTTAAAGTAGATAATGGATTCTAGTAGTAATTATGAATTGATTTTTATTTTATTTTATTTTTTAAAATCTTTATAGATAAGAGATGAGATTTTTTAAACTCGTGAGACGTATGTAATATACCAAATAAGAAATAAACTCGTGTAGATTTATGATATGAGATTTTTGTGGGAAAGTTTAAACCAAAGTCAATCGAATTTATTGTTGCAAGCTATAATTAAGGAAACAATGCAATTAAAGAGCCGGTTTTTGTGCCTATTCACAATTGTCTAACAATCTATCATTATAGAATTCCTATATTTAGGATATATTTAATAATGACGAGAAAAAGTTTCTAAATTTATAAAAAAGTTATTCTTTTTATATAATGACAGATTCTACCTTAAATTGTATTTATCGAGTGTTAAGGGCATGCTTGTTTATGAAATAATTCATTTCACACTCAAAATCTAACTCAACTTTAACTCAACCCCACTATCATTTATATTATTTATATAATTAAATATTATAAACCAATCATTCTTACATATCACATCAATTTTAATTCACTATTCATCCACTCACATAATTTTAACTACCTATCATTTCCAATCATTTATATCCTACTTTTACATCAAATCATTAATAATCATTTTAT